CCACCATCTGCTGCAGCCCAGCAAGAGCTACTCTGCACTCTTGGCCAGAGCCAGGCAGGAGTGCTTCTCACTCTGTGAAAGTCAAGTGCAGGCATCCCAGTCTCCATGACCATCCCAGCCCCTGTGACAGAGGCATGTGTCTTTGTCCATCCCCCCTCCCTGCTCGTGAGTACAGTCCTGCAGTGCTCACCACCTCCCCCCCTAAGCTGGGAGTCCATGATCTGAAGGTGCCAGCCCCTTCACTCAGCACTCTAGTGGACAAGGTCATGCCCTCCAACTGGGCATCCATGGGCAGGTGACATTCCCCTTGCCTCACCACCTGCATTGCCTCCCCTTGCAACTGGAGGCTTACATCAGCTCCAAACATTCCTCCACAGCCCTGCCCACCCGGGACCATTGGTGAGAGCCTCTGTACCACCCATCCAGTGACTGACAACCCAGGCACTCTTGCCCCTAATCACTTGAAAATTGGCAGAGCACACATACTACACTCAACCCAGTGACAAGGGAGAAGGCTCACTGCACCCACAGCCAGGTGATCAGCCAGATAGATACACCACCTCACCAGAAATGCCACCTGCATCCTGAACAGCACCACAAGACTAGTGAATAGAGACCAGTGCTCACACACCCAGTCTCTGCTCCACCCACCCAGAGACAAGAGATGAGAGCTTCAAATTGGCCTGATTAGTGATCAGAGCAGCACACATGCCCAGCCTACTCAGATATATCAAAACAAAGCAAAACAAAACCTCAGCACTTAGCAAATAAACAAACAATAAATAAATAAGTATAATAACTTCTCATGTCATAACAGAATACTATGAAAAACTGTATTTCAAAAAATTTGAAAACCTAGAGGAAATGGACAGACTTCTAGAATCATACTACCTATCTAAACTAACACAAACTGAGGCAGAAAAACTAAACAGACCAGTAAAAAAAGAAGAAATTGAAGAGGTAATAAAAAAAAAAAAAAACTCCCCCCTAAAAAAACACTGGCCCAGATGGCTTCACTGAAGAATTCTACCAAACATCTACAGAAGAACTCATACCAATACTACTCAAATTATTTCAGAGCATAGGAAATGAAGGAATACTCCAGAATTCATTCTATGAATCCAGTATAACCCTGATACCAAAACCAGACAAAGACACCTCAAAAAAAGAAAATTACAGACCAATATTCCTCTTGAGTACAGATGCAACAATTCTCAACAGAATTCTAGCCAATAAAATTCAACAGCATATCAAAACAAACAAACAAAAAAGCAAACAAACATACCAACAGAAAACAACACAAAACAAACAAACAAAAATCATGACCAAGTGGAATTCATACTAGGTATGCAAGGATGGTTCAACATTAGAAAGTCAAACAAGGTACTCCACCACATAAAAAACTAACAAACAGAAAAATCACATGATCATTTCAAGTGATGCAGAAAAGGTAATTGATAAAGTCCAATAACCATTCCTGATAAAAACTCTCAGCAAAATAAGAATAGAGGGGAAATTCTCAACATAAAAAAGGTATTTATACAAAACCAACAGACAACATTTATTCTCAACAGAGAGACACTGAAATCATTCCTCTTGAGAATGGGAACCAGACAAGGATGCCCTTTACCGTCACACTTATTCAATGTTGTGCTGGAAGTCCTAGCTAAAGCACTAAGCAAGAAAAAGAAATAAAGGATATCTAAACTGATAAGGAAGAAGTAATACTTTCCCTATTCACAGATGATATGATCCTATACATAGAAAACCTCAAATATTCCACACAAAAAAACTCTCAGAACTAATAGAAGGTCAGCAAAGTAGCAGGATACAAGATCAACATACAAAAATCAGTTGGATTCCTCTACATCAACAAAGAGAACTTCTAAATGAAAATCAGGAAAACAATACCATTTATAATAGCACCCCCCCCAAAAGATAAAATACTTAGTAATAAATCTAACTAGGGATGTAAAAGACCTGTACAAAGATACTAAAAACACTACTGCAAGAAACTAGAAGAGACCGACATAAATGGAAAAAATACCATACTCATGGATAGGAAGACTCAGCATTGTGAAAATGTCAATACTACCCAAAGCGATCTACAGATATAATGAAATCCTGACCCAAATACCAACAGTATTCTTTAATGAGAAGGAAAAACTAATTATCAACTTTATATGGAAAGCAAAGAGGCCTTGGATAAGTAAAGCATTATCGAAAGAACAAAGTAGGAGGCCTCAGACTACTGAATCTTAGAACGTATTACACAGTCAAGGTAGTCAGAACAGCCTGGTACTTGTACAAGTACAGACACATAGACTCATGGAACAGAATAGAGAACCCAGAGGTAAATCCATCTACCTACAGGCAGCTGATCTTTGACAAAGGGTCAAAGTCCATTAAATGGGGAAGAGACAGTCTTTTAAACAAATTGTGCTTACAAAACTGGATGTCTATTTGTAAAAAAATTAAACAGGATCCATATCTCATACCATGCATAAAAACTAACTCAAAACAGATGAAAGACCAACAAAAATATGTATATATATTTTAAAATATAAAACCTAAAACTATTAGATTGTGGAAGGAAAATAGGTACAACTCCAGGGGTCCTAATATCTGGTATAAATAGAATACCAAATATAACTAAAAATGCACAGTCAGCAGAAGATGAACTAGATAAATGGGACCTCCTAAAAATTAAACAGTTATGCTCATCAAAAGACTTCTCCAAATGAGGAAGAAGAGAATCTACAGACTGGGGGAAAAAAAAATTGGTTATGGTGCATCTGATAAGGGTTTAATCTCTAAAATCTATAGAAAACTTCAACACCTCGACAACAAAAGAAAAATAACCCAATTAAAAAAAATTGGCAAAGGATATGAACAGACACTTCACTAAAAAAGACATTCAGATAGCTAATGAACACATGAAGAAATGCTCACAATCATTAGCCATTAAAAAACAAAACAAAACAAACTTGTTACTGTCGAGTCGATTCCGAGATGAATTGTCCCATAGGGTTTCCAAGGAGCAGAAGGTAGATTTGAAGTGCTGACTTTTTGGTTAGCATTCTGAGCTCTTAACAACTGCACCACCAGGTCTCCTCATGAACCATTAGAGAGATGGAAATCAAAACTACAATGAGATACCATCTCATCCCAACATTACAGGCACACACACACAAAAAAAAAAGAACCCCAGAAAATACCATATGTTGGAGAGGTTGGGAGAAATTGGAACTCACTGCTGGTGGGAATGTAAAAAGGTAAAATCACTTTGCAAAATGATATGGTTCTTCCTCAAAATCTAGAAATAGAAATACCATATGGCCCAGCAATCCCACTCCTAGGTATATACCCTAAAGAAATAAGAACTGTGAGGCTAACAGACACATGCACACCCATGTTCATTGCAGCATTATTCATAATAGCAGAAAGATGGAAACAGCCTAAGTGCCCATCAACATATGAATTGATCAACAGACTGTGGTACATACACACAATGGAATACTACTTAATGATAAAGAATAATGGAGAATGCATGAAATATAACATGGATGAATTTAGCGGACATTATGCTGAGTGAAGCAAGTCAATCACAATAGGACAAATATTGTATGAAACCACTACTACAAGGAAACAAGAAAAGGTTTGCGCACGCACACACACACACACACAATTTCTTTGATGGTTACCAGGGATGGGGAGAGGGGAGGGAGAGAAAATTACCAATTAGATAAGACTTTTGGTGAAGAAAAAGGCAATAAACAATATAGGGAAAGTCAGCAAAAGATGATCAAGGCACAGGAGGACACTGAGAGGAATGTAAGAATAAAGGGCAACAATGGTAATTTCTATAGCATAGACAATCATGCAACAATAGCATTAACAAACACTAATTTACAATGGATAGCTAGCTAGATATGACAAGAGTTGTGGGAGGGTATAAGGTAAGAAACCCATCAGAAGATATAGGTTTAGTGGTGGATCTTTCTACATGCATAACTGTAGGTAATGCTTATATATCAGTATAGACAATAAAGAACACAAGGGTCACAGCCAGGGCAACTTCTTAGACATAATCAAATACCCCTTGGGACAGAGTTCCTGGTTTTAAAGACGAAGGGCTGTAGACTCGGAGGACATCTATGTCAATTGACACAAATTAGGTCATAAAGACAAAATTCTACATCCTACTTTGGTGAGTAGTGTCTGGGTTCTTCAAAGCTTTCCAGTGGCCATCTAAGATGCAACTATCAGTGTCTTCTCTTACTCTCTGGAGCAAAAGAGAATTAAGAAAACCAAAGACCCCAGGGTGCAACTAGACCAAAGGACTAATGAATCACATGAACCACAGCATAAAAGGACCTCAAGACCAGAAGAACTAGATGGTACCTGGCTACCACTACCAACCACTCTGTCTAGGATCACAACAGATTGTCTTGGACATGTGGGAGAAAGATTACAGAAAAAAAATTAAATTCACAAAAAAGACTAGACTTCCTGGTCTGATAGAGACTGGAGGAACCTCGGAGACTATGGCCTTAAGACACCTTCTGAACCGGAACTGAAGTCATTACTGGAGACAACCTTTCAGCCAAACCACAGACAGGTCCATAAAATAAACAACGCCTGAGAGGAACATGTTCCTTAGAACAATCTATTATATGAGATCAAAAGGGCAACATTTGCCTAAAAGCAAAGATGAGAAGGCAGAAATGGGTAGCAATTCAGCATGAAAGGAAACGGGGACCTAAGGCGGAAACGGGGTAAGTTCAGGCACAGCGTGGGGAATGGAACCAATGTCATGGAGCATATTGTGTACCAACTATCAAATGGGAAACTAATTTGCTCTGTAAACTTTCACCCAATGCACGATTAAAAAAAATATAGAGGAGAATTAGATGAGAAGCTCTTTAAGTGTTCTGATGATCCCTGTAATGATGTTGTGTGGAGGCACGAGGAACGGGGCTGGGCCAGGGAGCTGGTACCTTGTTTAAGGAACTGCTGGATGGAGTTGGCAGAGGCTCCTGAGTAGTTTGGGGGTCACTATCAGTTGGAGGTGTACTGGCTGCTGAAGTTTTTGGAAGCTGAATCTGCTTCTGGCCTGGCTTTATCCCCTTGGAGTTGTCAGTGTTTCTGTTTGGTTTTCTCTTTCTCTGAAAGTATTTAGTTTTTTACTGGTTAATGGTTTTCAATATTCGATGAAGCACATCTTTTCATTACTTAGAATAATCTTTTTATTACTAGGTTCTAATTAATCCCCTTGCCTCCAAACATGTCCTTTCTCTGATGCATGCCTCCAGATAATTGTCAGAGTATTTTTCCTGAAATGTAAAGCTTATCAGACATTCTTCTGCATAAAAGTTTTAAATTTGTTACCTAATTTTTCACCATGAAGTTTACATTTCTTTAGTTCTGACAAAATATTACACTATCTAGTCTGTTTTTAATCCCCTGGCCTCATCTTCCCATAATCTTCTATATTTTCTAAAATTTCAATTGTACTGAACTCCTTGTGCTGTTCCCTACTTTTCAGTATTTGTATGCGACCTTTTCTCTTCCTTTTAACACTTTCTAACATCTTTATCTTGCTGGGAACACTAATACCTACTACATATTGATTTCTTATGATGTACCAGGCACTTAGATAAGTAATGCATATGCATTATTATATTTAACTTTCAAACCAACTCCATGAGGTAGAACCTTTCCCCATTTTAGAGAGGAACGCTAAAGCCACTTGCTCTGTATTATGCAACTAGTGAGTGTTGGAGCCAGTTCTATCTTACTCCAAAACCTTGCTCTTGAATACTATGTAAAATTACTTCCCTGCCCTCCTAATTTCTTCAAATATTGTATTATTTAGCACAAATTCATAATCTTTGAAGCCTGTTTCAATGCCATATTCTTAATTTTTTTTTTTTTTTTTTTTTTACAAACTTCTCCATTTGAAGTATGAGAAAAAGGGCATTGTTCAGATCATCACATCTCCTGTTCTGCTGTCTGTATAAAACAACAGAAATATAGTCTTCCCAAAACTTAAACCAAATTATTTGCCTGTTTGAAAACTAACATTTAAACTAACATTTGTCTAACACCTACCTCGATGTAACTGTGATTTTCAGATGTCAGCTTCCGCCCTTGGTCTGTTTTTCTCAGTCGAAAGCAGAAGAGTTGAAGCTTATCTCCTTCCTCACATTTGATATCATGACATTTTCCTTTCCCCACTACAATCATCTTTCCTGTTCTGTCCTGAATTTCATAGATAGTGTTCTTCTTATTCACTGTTTTCTGAAACAGAAAATTAACATTCATTTTCTGAGAACATAGTTACTACCACATGTGTGAGAAAGACCTTCGTGACAGAGTAGAAGGAAGATGTAGGACAGCACCTACTGGTATAAATACACACGCACCTTAGTCTAGGTCTTTTCAGAGAGCTCTCCTTTTATTACTGCCTCACACCCCCCACCCCTTTTTTTAGCCTTTCCAGTCCTAGATGTTTGTTATATATGCTTTCTGCTGTGCTCTCAAGACACCTATGTATAAATCACTATTACGTCCATTTCTATAAACTTTTAAAATCTCATATGTTTGGGTCTGAGCCTTGGTGGCACAGTGGTTAAGTGCTCAGCTGCTAACTCAAAGGTTGGTGGTTCGAACCCATCATCTGTTTCGTGGGATAGAGATGTGACAGTCTGTTTCTGTAAAGATTTACTGCCTTGGAAACTTTATGGGACAGTTATACTCTGTCCTACAGTGTAGCTATGAGTCAGAATCTACTCGACAGCAGTGTTTTTTTGTTTGTTTATGTTTGAGTTGCTTATAATGTAAAGTTGGAAATAATTTCTGAACTCAGAAATAGAAAACTATATACTTCTATGATGCTCTCTAACCATTAACCTTAAGTCATTAGAAACTTGTAAGTCATTAAAACTGTAACTATGTCATTAGAAAGTTATTCTGACTAGAAATAGATAATGGAACTACAAGAAGTATGTCATAAGTGCCTTCTCTAAATAGTTCTGTGTACCTGCATGATGTGATAAAGAAATACAACATTAATCAAATCTTTATAGATTGGCCTTGAGATAGGAGTATGTCACAAAACAACTCCCTTAATAAAAAAAAATACCGCTGTAAAAATACAAAGAATATAACATCTGTCAATTCAACATTTTCACATGTACAATTGAATAAAACCAATTATAGCGATCATGTTGTACAACCATTACCACTATCTGTTACCAAATTTTTTTCCATCCTTGTTTATGCAGCATAGAGTTTTTGTTTATGAGGATGGAACATTTGTCAACAATAAGATGTTAGCTGAATTGATAGCAGAGAGTATATGAATGTATGGGCTCAGAAAACCTCATGTTAATTAGCCTTATGACTTTGTACAGGAACATATCAATAAACTGCTCTGGAATTATTTATTATTGTTATTTTTTTACACTTATAAATGGCAAGTTTAGATTTCATGACTTTCTAAGTATCATACTAATTCATATTTCTCAATTGTTCAATATATTTTTTATGAATGAGTATTATTTGGTCAAATCAGAGGCCTAATTGTTGACTGTGTTTGTTTTCTAGGCATGAACTGTCAATCGTTTCTTACACAGACTCTCACAAGCACAGCCCAAGCCTCCTAGGGCAATACTTTATTCAAAATGAAAATATTATTGATACAGTTGGGGTTAGAATCAAAGAGATAAATTTATTAAGGTAGTCTCCGATTCACGGCGGGGTTCTGTTTCTACAGTTGGTTCAAAAGTAAGTTGAATATATATATATATTTTTTTTTAGTCTTCATTATTATTGCATTTTATTACCAGTATCTTTATAAATCAGATCTTTGAACATCTGCGGTGAACATCTGAGAATGATAATTTCAGTAGATTACGTGCTGCAACATCGTATGTAGTACATATTACTAATGATAACATGTACAAAAAAACCCCGAAAACAGCAGATGGTAAGTGCAGTTCGTCGTTAACTTGAATACATTGTAAGTCGAGAACTGCCTGTATTTGTATATTGATCTAGATGTCTCTCTGTTCTTGATCATTGTGGCTGAGAATAGATAATCATAACCAATGAAATCCCAAGATTTCTCAATGAGTGGTTTTTTGCAGGGTGATATCTTGGGAAAGAGACTGGTCCTCTGAAAAGACATCACTGACCTATCATTAGTCTTGAGAGAGTCCCAATTTCTAATATTCTATCAACTGGCAAAGCTCCATTTGGCACGGTCAAGACTTTTAATTTCAAGTGTTGGTGGAGAAAATAGAACAAAACAATTTTGAGGACTTACCTTGTGTAGTGTAAACAACCCATACACATTTCCTGAAGCTTCTTTATGAAGAGTATTGATGTTGGGAGTTTTCTTTGCTTTTCTGATACTATTCTTTGAGACATCAATCTTTTGGTCAGGACCAGCTTCAGAAACAAAAGAGGCTTCATTCACCTCAAGGATTCCTTTGTATTGAAAATAATTTGATATGGTAATGACTTTCTTTCTAGTGAACTTCTGCTTCAGTTTGGTGTTGAAAACTTTCACTTGAAAGTATTTACTTTCAGTAATCACTGTAGCATGAAACATTGTGTTTTTCCCCTTTTCTGGGGACTCATATTCAAACGGTTTTGTTGCACTGAGTACCATCACTGTCATTGGGTTCTTTTGGAGAACACCTTTTCTGGCAGCTGCCTTTGACCTCTGGTTCTGTGTAGGATGGACACAGGAGAATAAGGGAACAATTTTGAGTAGAGTTCTCTTCAGTGAGAGAATTCAGGCACAACATTGGGCCCTGACAACTTTACAGATATTTTGAGCTGGGGACAGGCAACAGAGGGATTGCTAGACAGGGAAGAAGAGGATATTTTGATCTGATGCAATAGTTAAAGGAAGCACTAGAGGAGCCAACAGGTGAGGAAAAAAAAAAAAAAAAGACCTTTGTCTAAGCAGAAATTAACCATAATAGCAACATAGAAGCATTAGATGCTGAGAGCATTGGTATGAAGTGACTTTTAGGAATTTTAGAATAAAGTAACACATTTCTAGTCATCCTCTTACCAACTTAAAGGGACAGAGACTATAAAAATAGAGAAATAGCATTGAATAGCATTGAAAACAGAAAATGGTGCCTGCCACATACCACACACATAAAAAGTGGTTAGTTATTATTAGTGTTTGTTGTTGTTAGTTGTTGTCGAGTTGATTCCTACTCATGGTGACCACATGCTGCAGAGTAGAAAGGGCCATTTTGAGGGTAAAAACGATAGTGCCTCTTTCTAAGAAATAGTGTTTGCTACCACAAGTGAGAACACATGTAGTTAGAATCCCTCAATATCTCCTAATCCAATTAGGTTGAGAAAAAGGCACTCTGGTGAGTTCCATTTCCTCCACCACAACATTTCTCAGTGCCAGAGCTCTAGGAACCAGCTTGCTAACAGAAAACCAGGGATCAGGGTGGTTTGTCTTTCATCTCCTTTCTCTACAGCGTCCTAGTTTCCTTGGATTATGGCAAAACACTTTAAATGGAGGTGAGGTTGTTTAGTCTGTAAGAGGAAGTGCTAGAGGCAATGGCAGCGATAGGCTTCAGAAGAACAAGTGCAGAGAGCCATGCTAGTCTTCTCAAATACCAGCCAGCAAGGATTAGAGTGCTTGGATCTAGAATATTACACATGGCCATCATCTATGGGTGATTGGACTTTGGTCTGACTTCTCATCACTGTGATCAATTTACCATATCACATGAAAGTGCTTTCTCCAATGCAAATTAACCTGTCACAGTAGACTCAGACACGACAATAATAGTAACATTGGTATGCAACCTGATATGAGTATAAGGCCCACATACAACTACACAGAGACGTAATAGGACAATGAGGGGCACAAGGACAAGTACGTTCATTGAAGAGATGGTTGTAATAGGGGATATTGGAAAGTCTATCTTAGGGAATTATTTTTTTCAGTAAACTTTAATACATCCATGCAATTGAGCATATTATAGCATTTAAATAATTATTTCTATCTCTACTTAGAGACTTGGCCGGATGGTCATAATAGGTTAAATAAATAAAACACAGGTTACAGAATATTAATTTTATTTGATACTATTTTAAAAATTATGTATATATTTACAGAGGAGAAACTCTGAAATGGTATACAGGTATATGTGGTATCATCTGGATGTTGGCATTTCAGGTAATTTAAATTGAATTATTTTTAGCTTGGTTGGCTATCTGCATTTCTTATTTTTTCTAAGTTTACTTGTGTAGAAGGAAGAAAAAAAGAAACAGAGCACAGACTGTGGCTGATGTAACGGGTTTGCCACTCCATCATTATCTATCCCCTTTATTGTGTAGCAATGAAAAATAACACCTTCATACTTAGAGTAATGTTCGTTGGGGTTTCAATTTGTTATTAGACTGTCACTGATGCTTGGAAGACATAGTAAATAGCTGGCCATTTCAATTTTGAAAACAGTATAATTTAGTATTATTAGAAAGAGGCAATTGCAAATTACTGTTAATTTTTTTTTTTCATTTCTAGGTGTTTGTTTATGGTCTTCCTTCTGCCTGTATTTCCTTCCTCCTAAACTCACTCTTCCTCACTTTTCCACCATTTATTTTGTTGATATCACACTCTTTAGGCCTCGATTTAGATATCACCTGCTTGACTGGATTAGATGACCCTGTCTTGTCCTTCATCAACTGCACTGATTCATATCTTAGTACTTGGCTTTTATTATCTAACTGAGTAAATGTATTTATTAAGATCCTCCAGTGAAGTAGGCAAGGAGCCTTGGTTATGCAGTGGTTAAGAGCTTGGCTGCTAACCAGAAGGTTGGCACCTCGAACCCACTAGCCATTCCTTGGAAATTCTATGGGGCAAATTTACTCTGTCCTATAGGGTCACTATGAGTTGAAATCAACTCAAAGGCAGTGGGAGAAGTCGGTACTGAAATAGGTGCTGGGATACAGTAGTTCACATGGCTGACAGGGTAGCCCTACACTTGCAGCCTGTAATCAAGCGGGTAAGAAAAACATTAACTACTATTGTCAGAAGTGCTAGAAAAGGAAAAAAAAAAAACGAGGTTCTTCCAAAGCTAACTTCATGAAAATTTCATCTAGTCTGAGTAGGGTCTCTGGGAGATTTTCCTGAGGAGTGATGTCACTATTGAAATCCAGAGGGTGGATAGGTTTGGCCAAGTTGAAAGGTTTCTAGGTAGAGGAAACAACGTGTATGAGAACCCTGAAGAAGAAAGGAGCCAAGTGTACTGAAGAAATGTTAATAGGTTAGTGAGCAAAGGGAAGCAGTGTGAAAGAGACTCAAGCAGTAGACAATGGACACACTGCTGTGTGTACCTGCACTGATGTGGATGCCACACCTCTCTCTCCCTCCTCCTGAGACAACACAAGACAGAAAATTCCTGAGGTCAGAAATAATGTCAAGTTCATTAAATATCTCTTGTGGAAGCAAAAGATTAAAATATAGTGAATTCTTAATGTATACATTTGATTAATTAATTATTGGAGTTATTTTTAAGTAGTATATTAGGAATTTCAAGGTAAGGTTCCTATAGTTTAGGCTGAAGAAAATGGAGGAAAAGAGGAAGAGAAAAATATTACCTCAGGTAAGGACGTAGAGGATGGAGTTGATGATGAGATCTGGGGAGGTGGTGGGTGCCCTGTGGTTACAGATGTGCTGGCTGCTGAAGGACAGGGAGTCTGATTTTGCTCCTGAGACGCTTTATTCCTTTTAGTTCCAGGCTTCTCTTTGGTTGTGCTTTTCCTTTTCTGAAAGTAATTTAATTTTTACTGTTGATAATTTTCAGTAATAACTGAAGCAGAATATATTTTAATTACCATGTAATAGGTATACTTATACCTCAATATGTATTCCTAGGGAACTTGAGGGGGTGCTGCCCATACCCTGGCCAGGTTTAAGAGGTGGGCACAGATGGATTCATTAGACTAAGGGGAAAGTTACACACATCAGTCCTCTAAGACCTTTGTGGTGGGGTATAACTGACTTGGAAAAAGAAAATCCAGGTTAGTGTATGTAAATATGAGCAAAGCATCTTTCTAATCCAATTCTCATGTTAACACATCACTGTAGGAGGGAAGACGATATCATATTTATGTCATACTAATTTACATTCCTCCTGAGCACAATTAACTGTTCTTGAAGACTCATTCTTTGTAATGTTATCCATAATTTTTTAAGATTCACACAGTTGAATGCCTTTGTGTAGTCAATAAAACACAGGTAAATATCTTTCTGGTATTCTCTGCTTTCAGCCAAGATCCATCTGATATCAGCAATGATATCCTTCATTCCACATCCTCTTCTGAATCTGGCTTGAACTTCTGGCAGTTCCCTGTTGATATATTGCTATAACTCCTTTTAAATGGTCTTCTGCAAAATTTTACTTGCATGTGGAATTAATGATATTGTTCAATAATTTCCACATTCTGTTGGATCACCTTTCTTTGGAATGAGAACAAATATGGATCTCTTCCAGTCGGTTGGACGCTGTCTTCCAAATTTTGACATAGATGAGTGAGCACCTCCTGCGCTGCATCCATTTGCTGAAACATCTCGATTGGTATTTCTTCAATTTCTGGAGTCTTGTTTTTTGGCAATGCCTTCACTGCAGCTTGGACTTCTTCCTTCAGTACCATTGGTTCTTGTATCATATGCTATTTCCTGATATGGTTGCACATCGACCAATTCTTTTTGGTACAGTAACTCTGTGTATTCCTTCCATCTTCTTTTGGTGCTTCCTGCGTCGTTCAGTATTTTCCCAGTAGAATCCTTCAATATTGCAACTTGAGGCTTGAATTTTTTCGTCAGTTCTTTCAGCTTGAGAAATGCGGAGCACATTCTTCCCTTTTGGTTTTCTAACTCCAGGTCTTTGCACATTTCATTATACTTTACTTCGTCTTCTCAAGCTGCCCTTTGAAATCTTCTGATAAGCTCTTTTACTTCATCATTTAGTCTATTCCCTTAGCTACTCTATATTCAAAAACAAGTCTCTTCTGCCATCCATTTTGGTCTTTTCTTTCTTTTTAATTTAACCTTTTGCTTTCTTCAGGTATGGTGTCCTTGATGTCATTCCACAACTTGTCTGGTCTTCAGTCATTAATGTTCAATGCATCAAATCTATTCTTGAGATCGTCTCAAAATTCAGTGGAATATACTTAAGATTTTACCTTGGCTCTTGTGGACTTGTTTTAATTTTCCTCAGCTTCAACTTGAACTTGCATATGAGCAATTAATGGTCCGTTGTGCAGTCAGCACCTGGTCTTATTCAACAGACGATATTGAGCTTTTCCATGGTCTCTTTCGACAAAGGCAGTTCATTTGATTCCTGTGTATTACGTCTGATGAGTTCCACGTGTATAGATGCCATTTATGTTGTTGAAAAAAGGTATTGCTAATGAATAGATCATTGCTTTTGCAGAAGCATATCATCTATTCTCCATTGTTGTTTTCTTCACCAAGGCTATGTTTTGCCACTATGATACTTCTTTGTTCCAACTTTCATGTTCCAATCACCAGTAATTATCAATGCTTCTGGATTGCATGTTTGATTAATTTCAGAGTGCAAAATTTGCTAAAAATCTTTAATTTCTTCATCTTTGTCGTTAGTGGTTGGTGCATAAAGTTCCATAATAGTCTTATTACCTGGCCTTCTTTATGGATGTATGCATATTATTTCATCACTGACAGCGTTGTGCTTCAGGATAGATCTTGAAATTCTTTTTTTGACAATGACTGTTATGCTGATTCTCTTCAATTTGTCATTCCCAGCATAGAAGATCACATGATTGTCCAATTCAGAATGGACAATACAGTAAATTTCAGCTCACTAATGACTAGGATATCAATCTTTATTCATTCCAATTCACTTTTGACAACTTCCAATTTTCCTTGATCTGTACTTCTTACATTCCATGTTCTGATTACTAATGGATGTTCACAGCTGTTACTTCTCATTTTGAGTTACATCATATCAGCAGATGAAGGTCTTGAAAGCTTTACTCCGTCTGTATCGTTAAGCTTGACTCTACTTTAGGGAGGAAGTTCTTCCACAGTCGTATTTTGAGTGCTTTCCAACTTGAGGGGCTTATCTTCCAGCACTATATCAGTTAATGTTCTGTTGCTATCCATAAGGTTTTCACTGGCCATTTTGTTTTTCAGAAGTAGATTACTAGGTTCTTCTTCCTAGCCTGTCTTAGTCTGGATACTCTGCTGAAACCTGTCCACCATTGGTGACCCTGCTGTTATTTGAAATACCAGTGGCATAGCTTCTAGCATCACAGCAACATGCAAGCCACCAGAGTACATCGAACTGACATACAGATGGTGGCAATCATTTGAACAGAACAAGAGGATACTGTGTGGTTTAAAATCAGAAATGGTGTGTGTCAGAGTGTATCCTTTTACCATACTTACTCAATCTGTAGGTTGAGCAAATAATTTGAGAACCTGGACTATATGAATACGAACACACCATCATGATGAGAGGAAGATTAACAATCTGTGATATGCAGATGGCATAACCTTGCTTGCTGAAAGTGAAGAGGACTAGAAGTACTTACTGATAAAGATCAAAGACTACAGCCTTCTGTAAAAATTACATTTCCACATAAAGAAAACAAAAATCCTCACAACTGGACCAATAAGCAACACCATGATAAATAGAGAAAATATTGAAGTTGTAAAGGATTTCACTTGACGTGGATCAACAATCAGTGCCCATGAAAGCAGAAGTCAAGAAATCAAAAAACGTATTGCATTGGGCAAATTTGATGCAAAAGACCTCTTTCAAGTGTTAAGAAGCAAAGATGTCACTTTGAGGACTAAGGTGCTCCTAACCCAAGCCATAATATTTTCAATCACCTCATATGCATGTGAAAGCTGGACATGAATAAGGAAGCCTGAAGAAGAATTGATGTATTTGAATTATCATATTGGAGAAGAATATTGATTACACTATGGACTTCCAGAAGATCTAACAAATCTGTCTTGCAGGAAGTACAGCCAGAATGCTCCTTAGAAGCGAGGATATTTAGGCATCACTCTATATACTTCGGACATGTTATCAGAAGGGACCAGCCAGTCCATGGAGACAGACATCATGCTTTGTAAAATAGAAGGTCAGCAAAAAATAGGAAGACCCTCAGTGAGATGGATTGAGACAGTAATTGCAACAACGGGCTCGAACATAGCAACAACTGTGAGGATGGTGCAGGACCAGGCAGTGTTTCATTCTGTTGTGCATAGGGTTGCTATGAGTTGAAACTGACTCGGTGGCATCTAACAACAACAATTTACATTTGTTAAAGTGCCTAGCTCATTGCCTGTGACAGAGGATGGTCAATAATCATTCAGTTTTGAAAATCCATACCTTGATGGAAAATTAATAAAGAACCAAGCATCTAAATGGGGAGAATTTATGAAAGAGCCATAAAAGAAATTTCTTCTATGGGTTTGCAAGCTTATTTCTCTTCCTCAAGCTTACCTGGCCCGCAGGAGTATCCTCTGCTCTTTCAGATGTAGGAGCTTTACTTGTGGTGGGTGCAGGTGTAGCAGAACTTGTGGTTTCCTGCTTTCTGTTTTTCACTGGAGTCCTTTTTAATTTGATTTTCTTTTCAACTGATGCAAAAAGGAGGACACAATGAACACAGAAAGCTGGTTTAAATGTATAACTTCACAGAGAAAATACTACTTCCTTTCACCTCCTGCTTGTGGGTCTAAGTATGCTTTTGTTCACCTCTACTGCATTAGCCTAGCCTGGCCACAAGGTCAATAATCATCCTAACACAGGGCAGGCCCTGTCTCATGTGTCCTCAATGGTTTCCTTCATGTTCCTGTGCCATGAGCATGTCTACCTCTTTCTCTGGACTACCATGCACCTCAGTCAAACTCTTTCTCAGCATTGTTCTCCTATCATTACCTTTAAAAAAATCTAAGGTATTCTTAGTGCTAACTGGTGGATTATCATCTGTAAAAGATCTGTTCAAAGTAAAGAAACCAGTGAAAGGAAATATGATCTGGATTTATGAGGTGACGAAGTGAAGAGATTGACATTTGACTTTTTATGTTTTTGTTTGTTTGCTTGCTTGTTTTTGTGTTTTACAGTGATTTTACAAGACAGGAAGATCTTCACATCTCTGAGAGGTAAGTTTTCATGTAAGTACTGCCTCATCTCTGTTACTTTGAGGATAATGATGATGGAGTTAATAATCTTAAGAGAGCATGGGCATTCATTTGTTAAATGTAACTATTTTAAAAAGAAACTACAATATTTGCTATTTTGTTCTGTCATTTTCTAACCTTTCTAATGTACAAGAGGCCTCAGTCTCTCATCAGTTTCCTCTGCCTTTTATACTTTATCTGCACCCACCTATGCCCTCCAAAATACATCAATCTCCAGTATAGGCATAGGAATGTTCTAAGTTGTCAACTTGTTAGTAGCTGAGGTTCCACCATTGTTATGGCTACTGATTCTTAAGTTGGGGAAGAAATGTATCAACTATGAACAGGCAGGATTTCATTCAAAGTTGAAACAGGTGTGAGGATGGTTAGGGTAAATAAGTCTCTCCCATTACCTTTTATCTTCTCACGTTTAAGAGTTTTAGCAAGGTCTTTAAGGTCTTCAATATCTTGGAACAATTCAATTAGAGTGTCCAAACAGGCAGCACCTTGGAACTTGTCTTCCATCAAGTCAGCAATCTGAATTCTATTATATTCATGTTGCGCTTTTTTATTCAGCTGCAAATCATGGGCTAGTAAAGACTTAATCATGTTAAATTGATATTCATTGATGACCTCTAGTCCCTTCAGTAGAACAATTTTCTTGTATTCATTCACCATCTCTCAAGTTATGGCTCAGCCTACAAGAGAAAAAATGACATACAGTGTTACACAATTATACAGAGGGTTTTAAAGACTGGACATACCTATCTGAGTGAGTGGCCCAGGCGAAGTGTCGTCAGTGAGTGTGTGTGAGAAAGAAGAACTATAATCACCAGTTGTGTCACTGTGGAAAGTGGGTTCTGCGTTAGGAAATTCTAAAAAATGATTCCCTGTTAATGATAGTTGAGTTGGGTCGTGGGTGGTTATGGTGGAAGGAGGTCTGGAAATAGCTAATTGAAACAGGGGTTAGAGTATGGGTTACATAATGTCAAAGTCCCTGGTTCCTTTTCTCTTTCTCTATTGGGGCTGGTACCTGACCCTGAGTCTCCACCTGTTGGTTCCTGACTCTTTCCACATCCACTATGAATGACAAGGAAAAATGAAAATGGTCTCCAACCTTTTGCTTTATACAAATATCCTTCTACCATGGTACTGCAGTTCCGTGCTGGGGTATCTACCTTTGTTCACTTAACTTTTTCCTATTCTGTACTCATTAACATCCTCTCTCCTTCGGGGTTGAACCATGTCCTTTGTGTCCTATGTGCACATAATACTATCACTTTCCTGGACTCCTATCTGCTTACAAGTGAAGGGTCACAGCATTTGGCGTGGGTTATTTTAATATTTTATTATCATCCTTACAGACTTAATTTGTCTAATCAGATATTTTTCATACAGCCAGTTAACTTTCTAAAAGCCATGGCTCTATCCCACTTGATCTCCTTCAATAATTTCCTGTTTTTTTTTTTTTTAAAAAAATCCTTATTTCTTACATGGCTTAGAAACCTTTGCGTAATCAGTCCCTTTTTTACTTCTTTCCATTTCCCTTACTTAAGTGCTAGGATTATGTAACACACCTTGCTTTTCAAGCTTTTTGCCTTGGATGCACTTCCTGCCTTTGTTCTAGAAAGGTAGATCTAGAGACTGCATGGTCTACATTAAACTAATCAAATTTAATTTATAGCTTCTGCCAAGATCTACATATACTCAGATGTATTCAGCCTGATACCAGTAATATGGGCATCCTTTTATTTCATATTTTTATATATACTGTCCTAAATTCTGAATATAATATGGGGCTGAAGTGTAACATCCAGTAACTCTCATCCAGGAAACTTAGAGGTGAAACAGTGATGGACGGTGCCTCTGGTCAAGGGGATCAACAAGGAAAGGATAGCAGCAGGTGAACCTAGGTAGGTAGTCTGGAGTGGAAGCAGAGAATTACAATCCTCAATAATTTGAAATAATAACAATAAACAAATAATAACAAGAAAAGAGAAAAAAACAAACTCTAGAGAGGGGAATGATGTAATAGCTTACTGTCCTGATTACAACAGACAGTAACAAAGCATATGAAAAGGCAGGAGAGGATGGCCCATGCAAAAGAGCCAAATAAGAGGATGAAACTCTCTCCAAGAAAGGACAGATAATGGAATCACTTGATGAAGACTTTAAAACAACAGTATTAAGTTTTCTCAAAGAGTTGAAGGAAAACTCTGAAAAAGAACTAAAGAAAATCAGGAAAATAATACAAGAACAAGCCAAGAATTTAATTAAAGAGATAGAAATTTTAAAAAAATCTAGAGAGCTAAAAAATACAATAGTAGAAATGAACAATTATCTGCAAGGACTCAGCAGCAGATTGGATTGGCGTAAGAAAGAATCACAAAACTTGAATATAGTCGAATAATTTATTTATATATTTTAGATACTAAACCCTTATTAGATACATGGGCAAATTCCTTGAAACACATAAATTCCCTACATTGACTCAGGAAAAAATAGTGGATCTCAACAGATCCATAAAAAGTGAAGATACTGAATCAGTAATGAAAACTTCCCAACAAAGAAAAGTTCTGGACCAGATGGCTTCACTGGGGAATTCTACCAAATATTTATAGAAGAAGTGACCCCAATCCTATTTAAAATTTTCCAGAAATAGAAGTAGGAACACTTCCTAACTCATTCTGTGAGGCGAACATTACTCTAATACCAAAGCCAGACATAGACACCACAAGAAAAGCAAAAACAAATAAACTACCAATCAATATCCCTAATGAATACAGATACAAAAATACTGAATCAAATACTAATAGACTCTAAAAACATATTAAAATGATTATACACCATGATCAAATGGAATTTATCACAAAAATGCAAGGTGGTTTAACTTAAAAAAAAACCCAAAGATTCTATGAGAAAGCTATTAGAATACATGAATTCAGCAAAGTGTCAGGATACAAGGTCAACACATAAAAGTCAATTGGGTTTCTATACATCAATGAGCAAGCAGAAAAGGAAATGAAGGAAACATAACCATTTACAATAGAATCTAAAAGAATAAAGTACTGAGGGATAAATTTAACAGTGATGTCTCTAGGGGAGTACGGGGGTGCCGACCACACTGGATGACACTATCAGAAGGGGTGAGCACCAGGAGCAGTGCCAGTTTCTAGTACCAGGCAAGCCTCCAGGTGCGTGATGCTGCCACCATCTTCAGAGTGGAGTGGTTTTTAGACTGGCAGGGACCTGGATGTCACCATGAGTGGACGTCTGGGAGGCGGGAGCGGGGAGGCTGTGGGCATGTGCTAGGGGAAGAGTCATGCAGGGAGCAGAAGGGGTCCAGCACCCTCCTACCCCCACCCCTCTCCTGTCTGGAGGGGCCAGGTGATGGGTTTTGTCTGCAGACATTACAAACATGCCCCGTTGTTTTCTTTGCTCGGGGGGAGAGGCGAATGTGTGTGACACCATGAGTTATCACACTGGATAATACCAACCCTAGTGATGCCACTGAAATTTAACCAGAAAGGTGAAAAGCTATACAGAAAACTATAAAACATTACTAAAATAAATTAAAGGAGATCTTTGAACAGAAGGACATTCCATGTCTGTTAATTGGAAGTTTTATTATAGTTAAGATGTCAAATACTACCCAACATAATCTATAAATTCATTGAAATCCTCACTAAATTTCCAGTACCCTTCTTTGCAGAAATGAAAAAGCCAGTCCTCAAATTTTTATGGAAGGGCAAGGGGACCCTGAATACCTAAAGCAATCTTGAAGAAGAAGAATGAAGTAGGAGGACTCACACTTCCTGATTTCAGAGCATACTATAAAAACACAGTAATTAAAACAGCCTGGTATTGATACAATAATTGACATATAAATGAATGGAATAGAACTGAGAGGCCAGAAATAAATCCATACAGCTATGGTCATCTGTTTTTTTCTGTTGTACACAAGGTCACTATGAGTTGGAACCCACCGGATGGCACCTAAAAACAACAACAAGGTCATCTGATTATAGACAAGGGTGCTAAATCCATTCAATGGGGAAGGCATAGTCTCTTCAATAAATGGTGATGGGAAAATTGAATTTCCACTGGCAAAAGAATGGAATAGTATTTATGCCTTACACTATACACAAAAACCTGTTGAAAATGGATCAAAGACCAAAATGTGAAATCTAAACCATAAAATTCTTAGAAGAAAATATAGAGGTATGGCTGAAGGTCCTAGTTTTTGACAATAGATTATCACATATGATGACAAAATCCTGAGGAACAAAAGACAAAATAAATTAGACCTCATCAAAATTGAACACTTTTGTTCATCAAAGTACTTTACCCAAAAAAAAAAAAAAAAAGAAAAGACAACTTACAGATTGAGAGAAAATTTTGGAAATCACATATCCGATAAAGGTCTAATACTCAAAATGTATAAAAACTTCTACAACTTAGCAGTAACAACACAAACAATCCAATCAAAAAATGGGCAAAGGACATGAAAAAACATTTCACCAAAGAGGATACTCAAATGGCCAACAAGTGTGTAAAAAGATGCTCAAAGTCATTAGCCATTAGGGAGATTAAAATCAAAACCACAATGGGAGAGTGTGTACACCTCACCCCCGTTAGAAAGGTAACGGTCAATGAAAGAGAGAACAACAGGTGTTGGCAAGATTGTGGAGAAACTGGCACCCTCCTTCACTGCTGGGTGGAATGTAAAATGGTACAGCGGCTGTGGAAAACATATTGGTGGCTCCTCAAAAAGTTAACCATAGAACTTCCGTATAACCCAGCAACCCCAATCCTAGGTATCCATCCAGTAGAAGTGAAAGCAGCAACGCAAACAGAAATCTGTACACTAATATTCACAGTAGCAATTTTCACAACAGTCAAAATGTGGAAACAACTGAAATGCCCATCAACAGATGAAGGTATAAACAAAATGTGGTATGTATATACACAAGAGAATATTGCTCAGTCAAAAAGAGAAATGAGGCCAACATGGCACTATAGACAGAAACACCATGCCATCCCTCCACAGCAAAGACTCAAAAAACTAAGTAAAAACAGAGACAAATGTTAATCCTGGAACCTTAAGCAACAAATGAAGTGATAAAGAACTCAGCCAAGCACTGAATGGAATAAGAAACTGACAGAGAACAGAGAGTGAGAAGTGATAAGTGTGGAAGTCCCCTATCAGCTAATGCAACACAGATTCGGCATCTTGGACTCCTGTCAGAGATCGGCAGACAGGGAGTATGGGAAAGAAACTTCATGGAGTTCTCAGCAGGAGACAGAACAACCGGTGACCAGTGATATATTGTTTCCCACCTCACACTCTTCTTCCCCCAAGCTTGATCTCCCTTGCTTCCCACCAGCCCCAGTCTCTTGGCCAGAAGGCACCAGCTTCAGCCCTGTGCCACTTGGATTCACCCCGCGTACACTGGCCGGCTCCCTGAGTGTCATTTGTTTGTTGCTGGTGTTGCTTTTTTCTGCTTCTTTTGGTTTCTTCCATGCCTCCAACTGCCTCCCCCTTCTTTCTCTTGAACACCTGGCTCCACGTGCCATCCTTGCTTCTTCTTGAAAGGCTGTGCAGCACTGCTCGACTGGGTAACTGCTTCCCTGACCTGCACCACCACACTGGTGGGACCCTCAGGGCTTTTTTGGTGTGTTTTTTTGTTTGGTTCTG